GCACAGCCAACACACTCACACACACACATGGACAAGTGCAGTTGCATTTCGTATTTTGGAGATTTTAACACTTTTGGGAATTTTGCAAATTTCACTTTGCAGGTCGTTGTGTGCGGCTATTTTGGTTTCTCTGTGTGTTTCGTCAGCGAAGATGCTGCTGGTGGTTGTTGGGTCAAAGTTCAACTGGTCAAGGAGAGAGATTTCTTAAGATATATTCGTACACATGCTTTGCTGACAAGCGCAGGTAGATGGTTTTTTTTTTGGCAGGTGTTGGATCTCAGTCCTTAATATAATCACTATCCAGCTGCTATGAAACATGTTTTGGCCGATTCAACATACGAGGGACGAAAACTGGTTTCCTCTGAACTAAAAGAAACTAAACTAAAAATGTCCAAATAAACAAAAACAAAAAACCACAGCACATTTCAAAATACCCAAGTCTACGTTTAAGGTAAAACTGACCTCATTCTGTCTTTTTATTACATTAATATCGTTACGGCAAAAATAATTTTACATTTTAAAAATGAAATACTGTCTATATATATATCTAAATCTTAGGACCGATTTAAGCAAACCTTTTGGGCTTTATTTTCCATACAATTTGAAACCCAAAAATAAAAAACAATTAAAATTTGAATTATCTAGTATGACGAAAACAATAGAAATCCTGTTAGTCATATGCCTTTTTTAATCGAACATTTTTAAATTAATTTAAGATTTAAGCCACAGTCAAATCGAAGCCACAGATCGAGACTTTAATGTTTTGTATCCCTGGTATATTTAGCCAAAATGTGCCCTATAGACATTCGGTTATTTTTGTTCAAATTTTGTTGCGTGTGGTTCGGGCAAAACGAAGACAAAAACAATTTTGCTTTATTTGACGTAGTTGTTGTTGTTGCTGCTGGTTTGATTTGTTGTTTTGCGATAACGCGACGGCGTTTAATATATGCATTACACAAACTCATGCATATAAATATGTGTACACATGTACGAAATACATATGGTATACACATAGGCCAATGTTTCTACGTGTTGTTCCGAGCTTTATCATCTGACAACGCTTCGGTAGACACGAGCACGAGCACGCACAAGCTCCAATCTTTATATTACAGCGGATTTCCCCCCATCACCCCACGCCAATTAGCTCATAAATTTGATTACTTTGTATTCGCTCTCGACTCCAATGCAGAATAGCATAGCTGGCCAAAATTGTGGTGGCCATTTAAAGGTGGGAGTCAATGCCTAAAATGGTGTGAGTTTCCCATTTCTCCAGCGATTTCACAGTAATAATGAAATGAAAACCAAGTCTGCGCAACGGGGATGAAAACCAGTTTGGTTCCCAAAAAGTAGAGTAAGGGAAGAAAGCTGCTGCTACTGCTGCTGGGCCATTCGCCTTTGTGTGAGAACGAGTGTGCGAGTGTTGTGTGTGTGTGTGTGTGTGTGTGTGTATGTGTGTGTATCTCTTTGGGGTTGTTCTGCTGCTGCGGCTGCTGCGACAGCAGCTATAAGTCGGTCGCCTGTCGGTCACTTTTGATCGAAGCGAGTGCAGCAGCTGGCCAGAAGTTCAGAGACCCCCCCAAAAAAAAACCAGAGCCAAAGCGTCAGCGAAACAATCTTAAAATGTATTGAAACATTTTGAAATACGTAATTTGGTACATTCAAAAATCGCAAAGATTTAAAATAGATAAGAATACAAAAATAAAAAAGAAACCAATGAATGAACTTTAAACTCAACGAAGAATGAGGCTTATTGTAATGTGTATGCTAAATAAATTTTTTTGAATAGGATTTGTAATTGAATGGTTAAATAGAAATATATTCTAGATACATAAGTTATATTTTATATTTACGATTAAATTGCGATGTTTTTTAGGGTTTTAGTTTGCTGCGTATTTCTATGAACCTCACACAAACACACACTTTGACTCTGATTGATATTTTTCCAATTTGTCGCGTGGTATGTGTTTATGTATGTACACCTGATGCGATAAGATGTTGACAAACTAAAAATACAGACAACGATCGTTATTATATTATTGGACTTTAAACTACAACAATCTCTCTTTTAACATATTCAATTTAAGGCTCCACAATCTTGATCCATCGGCAAATGTAATTGTGTATCATTTGATATTTGCTCAACGCTGACTAAGAAAATTTATATAAAAAACAAAAAAAACACACGTCGTTTGAGTCACGTTATCTCCCATATGATTCGAGGAAACAGTTTCTGTTATTTGCTGCGACTGTTGCTGCTAACTTTTGCAAGTGAATTTTTTTCCATCTACCATGTGATTCACACTTGACAATTCGTAATTAAAATTTCACTGTTTACAATCAGATTGATTATTGCTTTTCGCACCATGTCAAATGAATTAGTTTATCTATTAGAGATGCGTATCACATTTGTAACTGAAGTTTTAGAACACTTTTGATTTGTTGTTGTTGTTGCTGAGCAAAGCCATATTAAACGCTGTGTGTGTGTGTGTACATATGGAATGCCACAAAACATACGAGGATTACGCGTTGCGGGTGGGGACTGAACCGTTCCAACAGTTACGTTGTTTTGTATAGCGTCGCGTTTTACGTTGAACATATGCATTAAACGAGAGCTCTCCTAGATGCACAAATACACACGCATATAAACACATGCACATGTAAATATCCAAAAATATAAACGAACCCAACGACAACGGCACCAACAACAAAAACAACAAGCTGCTGTTCGCTCGAGCTGTACGTAATAAAATCCCTTGCGCTGCAATGCAGTCGTAGCAGACAGCGCAGTTGCTGCGCAGCACATGCTTCGCCTCTTATTTATAAATTCAGCCAGCCCTTATGTGTTCAACTCTGTTATGTACCAGCAGCAGCGGCTGGCGAGACATACGTATGTACATACACATTGTCTCTACGTAGTACGTGCGTGCATGAGGTTTGCCTGTGTTCGTGTGCGTGTGCGCTCTTGTGTGATGCCATCGTCGATATTGAAAGTATGTATGTACGAACATTTATACATTTGTACATAATACGACGTATCGACGTTGCTTTGTACGAATCGTTGAAAATTGCTTGGGTTTGCGAACAACGGGACGACGATCTGATACGAAGCGATTCTTTTTTCAGTTAATTCTTTATACGTATGCATGTATATACATACGTATCTTTTAAATACATACATACATGAATATGTATGTATGCATGTATGTACATATCATTTTCATTTTTCACGGAACAAATATGGCTGCACAAAAAATAGCGTTGAAAACGCTTACGCTGCTCACATTAAAGCTTATTAAAACTTTTCACATTCACACCAATTATATATATGTACACATATGTACGTATGTATACATGTATTTCTGGTTTTTTAATCAAATATTGAAAGAACGAACGACCATTAAATGCTGACTGGCTGATTGGGGAGCGTAGATTCCGTTTGCGTTGCCGTTTGTTGGTTTGAGTGCGTGATTACGCCATTTTCTTTACTCTTGCACGCCCAATTTCACATTTACCTTTTTGTTAAATTTTGAATTTGTTGCTTTACACACGCGTACACTGTGTGACCGTTTTATTCGATTTTTTATATCACTATTGGCAATATTTTTTCCTTTGACGAATTTTTAAATGCATTTGTTAAAACTTATAAGTTTTCACCACTACCACACGCACGACTTGTCGACAGACTCGCTGAGGTTAGGGAGATGGTAAAGTCTCGATATTTCACAAGTTACGATATTTTTACTATCGTTCTTACTTATAACGATAAATCGATATTATAAAATCTGAATTTGAGTGCTTACATATAAAATTTAAAACAATTTTTGTTTCGTTTCCAATCTGGCTTTTTCGAAAATATATTTTACAAAGATTGGTTAACTTAACCTAATGTTGACGTAAATTTCTTTTACGTTAACAGAATACTACAAGTTAATTGATTAAAAATATCGATATTAATCTGAATCATCAATCACTAGTTTTTTTTTAGAAACTCTTTTATTTTGAATTTAAATCAACTAAAGCAAATATACATTATAGAGAACACACAACGGATTAACTGAGTAATCGATTTCTTATGGGCCTTTTTAAGTTTTCAGAACTAAGAGCTCTCATCACCTTTTTAATTTAACAGCTGTGCTCTATTGACGTAATGTTAACATATTGCTTATTATTTCAGGCAGCTGTTAAAAGTACATTGCAAATGTTATAAAAACAACTGTTATGCGCTTCCCTATGAGATCACAATATGTTAACAATGTTGTAGTACAGGAAAGTATTAATTAATAAAAAAATATTATATTTACATTTCTTCATGTCACCCCTTGGAAGACAGAAAATAGAAACACATATCACAATGCTAGCAATTAATTTCGGCTATAAGCATTTAATCGGTTGGATTTTGAATAACAATAAGAATGAAATCCTTGTCGGGAGCGACCATGATTTCGTGTTTTTTGGAGCGTACTCGAAGGAATGTCATATCGTTGGATGGGTCCAGATCGCGCACCACACTACGAGCCTTGTCGGCTAGTTGACTCATCAGTCCCGCGTATTGAACGGTCGTCGTGTTGTCGAGAGTAGACTTAACTGGAATACCTAATAAGCCAACTCTGCGTTACTAAGGCAGCCAATATGGTCAGAATATATGCATGCGTATTTACCCACCTTCATTGTTGACGACAATTGTGCCGACGACCCCTTTATGGCTTTGGATTCGTTTCAACGTTTCTTCGACTTCTTGCGACTGTCAATAAACACGAATGTAAATTATTGAAAATATTTTTCACATAACTTACCATGTTGACTCTGAATTTAGCTCAACCTTTTACCAAACTAATGTTTTATTGGCAAAAAATAAACTTTTGTTTGCTCGATACCGCAGTGTGACCAGCTTGCAGTAAGTGAAAAGTATTGTTTTGGTATAAAAATACTAATAACGGAGTGGCATTTATTAGTATTAATTGTTATTTATAAAAATGTACAGCAATTCCTTAAAAAAGTATATAAGCACGCACTGGCCACACTGAATACTGGAACTTGACCCGCAGACCTATATAACAGCCGTTACCTCTAAAAACTGTCTTGACAACCATACAGAAAAAAACAATTTTTGTATGCACTTATTGTAGGGGAGAAAGTGACCGTTTGATATACTGAAATATGTTTAAAAGTCCTCCAGAAAAGGTACAGCTTATTTTATAATAATTAAACTATTTAGGAAGTAACGCTTATGTATCCACAGCCACAACGAACACGTCGATATGTCGATGAAGCATTTAGACAAATTCAGGAAAAGAAAAACATTCGCGACATTATTATTATTAATGAGCTTGGAATTCCTGTTAAAAGCACAATGGAATTTGAGACCTCTGTCAAATTTGTTGGCCATTTTCAAGAACTACGAGGACGATTGGAGCGAGGTATGGCGAAAATTGATCCCACCGATGAATTCTTGATGCTTAGAGTACGCACTAAAAGTCATGAAGTCCTGTTAGTGCCAGACGTTAAAATAACTGTAATTGTTGTTCAAAATGCAGCAAAATAATAACACATAAATATATTTGTATAAAAATCTGATTGTCCAGGCTAGCTATTTGATAACTGAATGATTGGTAATGAACGTATGGGCTAAAGAAATTAATTTTGATGAGTTAATTTTGTGAAATCATCAAATAGATCTAAAATTTGTTTCGTAAATTAAAGTTAAATCGGAAAAAAAATTAATAATTGTTCTTATAAGTAAATTATTCTGATGCAACAGTGCATATTCAATTTTTAAATATTCAATTTGCGTAGACTATCGGACTCCACTTTGCGCCAATTTCGCGGTAACAGAATCTTATTCGTGCGTTAACAGTATATTAACAGACTGTTACAAGATTATCGAAATTGGTATCGAGCGTGTCCCAAGTAGTATTTTGACATGTGGCCATGTTAAGACATTGCAATAGCTCTGCTATGGCTCTGTTATTAATAAACTTGTCCTTAATATTACAAGAGAAGAAAATTGTAATTATTAAAGTGTTAATAAATGTATTTCTTATTGAATTGCATTATCCATTAATAAAAAAAAAATTGGTTCCGCTGTTAATAACATGTTAATAAAATGTTAATTTAGCAGACAACCGAACGGGAGGTAAGCCAAACACACATACGCACGCAGAGTTTTGTTGTGTTCGGTCCGTGTGCTATTTACGTCGTAATTAAAGTAAACTCAAAAAACTAGCGCGTAATTAATTAATCAAATTTGTACAAATTTGCTCAAAGGTGTGCAAATTGTTTTGTGTTGAGCGTGCGGTGACGCGTAAGTCGATACTGACGTCGCGGCGAGATTTGGTGACGTCGCGCTTGAGCCTAAAAAGGCGTTGACTAAATAAACTTCAAAACGGAACGCAAAACGGCTTAGCAGAAGCAGATATAAAAGCAAAACAACAACAAAATCAAATTCGGTCTAAAACGTAGATAGGCAGAGCAGAAGCCGACATAGAAGTTGTTTAAAAAATAACCAACGTTCCAACGCTCTTCTGCCACATTTACTCGTGTCACTGTGTCTGTGTGTCTTTGCAAAATAACAGTGTTCAAGTGTGCGTAGCAGAAATAGAATTTACATACGAACGCGACACCCACACAAAACGTACGGTAAATGCAGCGCCGCAAAAATGAGCAGCATAAAGCTAAACGAAATGGTCAACGTGACACAGCAGGATTTACACGATCTATTAGAAATTTTCGAAAAAAAATCATTCGAGGCGGTGGCCTTTGAGGAAGGCACAACGGTAAGTCGAGTTTACCTGGACAATAACAGAAAAAGCCTGTGACACAAATTCATTTAACGCACGTGCACGTGCTGTAACATTACCAATGGCAGTAACAGGGCTGCAGCCTGGATTGGGGGCTTGGCCCATCCATTTCTTCCCTCCCCATCATGTGGCCGCGCCCAAAGCCCAAAGAGCGATGCAAAAGTCTGTCCCAAATTGGCTTTTTTCCCTTTCTCATTATTTAACTCCTCCAACTCTAATCAAAAGAAATCGATAGGTGCGTCTTAAGATTCACCCAAAAAAAATACTTGCATACGTATGTACATATGTATGCTCGCTTGCCTTTCTGCTTCTTCTTTTCTTTTCTTTTTGCCCTCGTTTCAAGTTACGGTTATGTTTGTGACTAGTCGAAGTGCAGGTACAACATTTACGACTTTTACAACAAACTGTTTACACGCACTAGACTAATTTCTTTAGTAGTCCCCATTCCCCCGGTCACGCATTCTCATCAATATGTATTTATTTGGGGCTGGAAAGTGGACAACAAACGTGTTCACTAAATCAATTCACATTATATTAGATCTATTGGCTACTTTGAAGGTAAATTTATTTTTCAATCTGTGACACCTTAACGACCGCTCGATTTCAAATAAGTCGATTTTTTTGCAGCTATATGTATATGTATATTTATATATATGTATATATATTGATCAAATAAGCTCCTTTTAAAAAAGAAAAGGCTACACAAATTAGTTGGATTTGCTCGTTTTGTCATCGCTGTTGCATGTTGAACATTTTCTGTTAACATTCTGTCAATGTTAACAGGCCGCTAAGCGTTAGCCGGCAACACTAACAACAAATGGTTTTATATGGCAGCATCTGTGCGTGTGAATGTGTGTGCGCAAAAGAGAGAGTGCATGTATTTGTATATGTTAATGAAAACCGCAAACAGTTGGCAACAGTGAAACAACAAATGCCTTCGTCGGGGGCATACGTGTATGGCCCGCGTATTACAAAACTTGGCACGTAACAGCCCGTGCCCCGCAGCCGCCCCGCAGCCGCCCCGCCCCCTATCATGCAGTGCATTTGCTCAGCTGCAGCGCTGCAGCTGATAAACGCGAATGCTTTGCAATCAATTGAAATGAATAGAAGCCAAATGCTCTTTTAAAAAATGTTTGCCCCTGCCTGTTGCATTGTTGCAGTTTCTAAACTCTAGAATGTTGTGTATATTATCTATTCGTTTATCAAACATTTGCTGTTATCAGCGCCGAGCGCAAGCTTTTTCCTATCTGGCAACATTGTCAAAGCTCAACAATGACAAGTGCGAAACAAGTAAAATACTGAATGCTCTTTCTAAGATTTCGAATATGATCGAGCACATGAGTTCTTCTTGTATTTCAAGATCTTCCTACTACTTTATAGCTCTATTGAAAGAATATGCTTGCAAAAGTATTTAATCTTTGGCGTGACGTTATTTCTTGACTTAAACATTTCATGAATCATATGAAATTTGAATACTTTCGGTCCTAGACCAAATGTGAATATTGTTCGGATGTGACATTCTTTTCAATTAAATCACTTAAACACGTACGATCTGTACGTGAGTTCCAGAGCGAATTTGTTTCTGATTAACTGTTGAAACAAAGCACATTTTATTAAGTCGATTGTCTTTTTTTATATATTTTTTTCTTCTAGTCTTTTCTATTTTATATAGAATACTAAACAATACCCTTGGAGCAATTCGATCGGAAAATCAATTGCCTTTTGCTTATCATAAATATATTGTTTTGAATTAATAAAAGTTTAGCTTAAAGGTTTTATATAAAATCTAGGGACTTCAAACTTGGAATATATACTTGTTTATAGTACAATTATGGGTTACGCCCCTTAGTTTTTAAGGTTGACTTAATCTCGTCCAATCAGTCAAGGGACCTTAGAAAGTGATTACACCCGCATGAATACTGTAGTTTACTAACCGAGTTTCTTATCTTTGAACTGCACCTCGATAAGTGCGGGTTTGTTTTTTTTTATGGGTTTCTGTTGCTCAACGTTTTTCTTTGTTTAAAGTTATTTACTTAACTGCTGTTCTTTTTTTTTTTGTTTCTTATTTTATTGTTTATTTTATTTTTTTTTTGTTATTGGGGAAAGAGTATTTATAGCTTTGATGCTGGCACGTGACCAAGCAATTTGCGTTTCAGATTATTTTGAACAGGCGCCACAACGAGTCAGATCTGTGCATCGGGGCAAAGTTTCATTCCGGAGAATTACATAAGCGAATGTAAATAATAATCTTTTCACAGGTTAATGCAGGAACACGAGACATGTGAACAATGTGGGAATTTATAATTTGAAAAGACATCGCACACGGACTTCTTTTTACAAAACATGTAGCCGAAACTCATGCACTCGGAATATGAGTAATACAAAACAGGAATCAAATATAAATTTGTGATTTCTACATTCTGTTGATATGTAGTGAAAGCATAATAGCTGTGTGTTGGCTTTAACACATGCCACGCCCTCAAGTCCCTGTTGCGGCCCAATCAAAAAAGTTAGTTAACGCTGGCTAAAAACTGAATACCCCTCTCGTTGTTCATACTAAATTTTCTTCTTATATATTGGTTCTCCTAAATGAAATTTCTTAATTTAAAAAGTTTTTATCTAGAGTTGTGTAAATAATTTTGAAGATGATTAGACGAAACTTAAAATTTTCACAAAGATATTTGCAAATTTATTTAAAGCCTATCGGATGAAATTGACAAAACTTTCCTACAACCGTTTTGCCAATTTTCCACCGTTACAGGTGGAATTATCAAATCGCTGAAACTTGTATTCATTAAGTTATGCATTTTCCATTCAAGAGGTTGTGACTTTTGAAAAAAAGTTTGGGACCGATCGGATGGCAAAGAAATAAGTTTCATACAACAGTTTTCCGCCATTTTTCCACACTTGGGAGTGGAATCATCGTCGGTAATATCTTCAATTGCCTTGCTCTTACTGTTTTGTCTGTGAGTTCATCACCATTCAATCAGTTTGGATAAACATTTTTATATATAAAGATTATGCAATAAGGAAAATTAATGGAGATTTCCTTAAACTGAAAATATGTTGTTACTAGAGTGAGAAGAAACCGTAAAGCAGAACTGAATAAAAGCAACTGTAGCTGTTACACATCAAGATATTTGAACATTTTATTTAAGCACATCTAAAAAAAAAAATTGTATTTGTACACATATATAAATATAGATTTATAGATCTGTATAGTAGCAGTAGACACCGGATTCGCCCTTTGGGCATACTGAGCGACATTCTAATCGTTTTGCAAAGCGCGCTTCAGCTCCACCTCAAAGTCGGCGGCCTCGAGATCCAGCTGGCAGCGCCCGGCGCAGCCATCTTTGTCGAGCCTGCTCTGTGCCCAGAGTATCAGCTTGACGAGGAACATCATTTTGGGTTCCATGCTCGCTGTCTGCTCGTACTTGAGCAGGGTCGATTCCAGCTCGTGGCTCACCCGCTGCCTGCAGCTGTGCTGCATGAGATCGTCCCCAAACGAACACTCCGCGGATCGTTCCGTTTCAGAGGAGCCGCTGCCGGAGTTGCGCTCCAGATTCCGTTCGCGGATCAGCTCGATGAGGCGCAGCTGCTGCATGTGGAAGTACATGTAGTTCTCGCTCTCAAACAGCTTTGGGTACAGCCTCTTGGCCATGTCAATGGCGTACTGCACCTGGGCCGTGCGCACCGCGTTACGTATGCGCTCCTGATACTCTACGGGATCGGCCTGCGCGCCCGA